AGAAACATTAATTTAACAATCATTCTTTTTACTGAACAAATATTTATTTACTGTAAGTAAATGTTTAGGTGGCAATATTGAACTAAATATTAAAATTGATTATATTTTTTTCTCAGTATATTATTAGATGATTCCACAATATTAATAACCTAATAATTTCATTCCTTTTTAATATACTTTTATATATGTACCTATAATGCCATGATGTCTTTCGAAAACCAGCTGGAAATTAAAATTATGAAAAAAAAATTGCGGCGAATTTCAAAGGATATAAATTCTGATATAAATTTAAAGTAAGAACACACATAATATATTTCCTCTATATTTTGATATTTTTATTTTCGCGTGTATTAATTTTTATCAAGAGGTCTCGAGCGAGATCTCTATGTCTTAAATGGCAAGAAAATATTCCAACTTGCCATTATACGAACTCCAAGACGGCGCGCCCTCCTATTGTAAGCAACGGTCTTACTCTGTACTCCACCGTCTTCTTTGTTCTTCAACCTCTCGATTGGTATCGTTAGCCGTTATGATCGGCTTCGAGGTGTATAATCGTTTGCGCTGTTACGGTTCGAATTACTTGCGCACCGTTGTTATCTCCCACAATTAATCGATTCTCTCTCTCTTTTCCACGTGTATGATCGACGGCTTCTTCTCTTTTCTTGACGCGCGTAACAAACGACATTACAACGAAACACGCGATACCGATGCATCGCGTACTGGCGAAGATGCGTGTTCATGCTGTACTATTTTCACGACGCGATGCGTAAAAAAAAATCGACTTCAGGTGTCGAGATCGTAAGGATTCAATTTTAACAGATCGGTTAATCGGATCCGGCTTGTGTTAGAGTTATTATATTATGTAATACGACTGTGTGATGTGTGTTTTCTCTGCTGAACTTCTTACGAGATTAGTAGAATAGTAACAAAGAAGTAGAATAGTAAGAGACTCAATTCCAAGCAGAATCGTAAGACTCGTAACGTATTCTTGTAAAAACTTATGATTAATATTCTAATTTTATGCATATGTATAATAATCGTAAGACGTACGATTATTCATAAATATCGATTTCTTGTTAATTTTATGATAAGAAGCTATTGTGTAAAAATATTATATAAAGATATAAGCACTTAAAAATTTTTACAAGTCTTATAAGATGATGAAGATCTTATGTTACGATCCTTATTCAGCTTAAAATTTAGGCATTAGTTTTTCAACGGATTTTTTTTTAGAGATTGGAGAGCAAAATTCAAAAATTAAAACGCAAGCTTTCTGAATTTCTATTATCTTGTAATGCGGAGAGACTTATAACATTATGTTTCAGTATACTTATAGTATTTAAATTATGTAATTCAAAAAGTTGGACTTACGCCAACGTTTTCTCACGGATTATTATGAGAAGAGACATACGTAAGCAGTAAATAGTACAAGGCTCATACATATCTTTCCATAACAGTAATCGTAAGATGTATCGTAAGAATTAGCCAATCAGAACTGAACAATTTTGACAATTCTTAACTGTGGCTAATTATTAAGGAGCATTTATATTGATCGTAATCTTCTGCCGTCGTATCTGTAAGAATTGATCAATTACAGTCGAGTATTTCTCCCTTAGTCGAATTGAGAGAGGAATAAATTAATTCTTATAAATTACGGTAAGTATAAATGCTCCTTTATATACATTTTATGGTTACGGTTATGGAAAATGCGTACGTAAGTCATAAGCATATCAACACAGTAGAAAACATAAAGCAATAACGGGAAATTTTTAATGAGAAATTTAAAAATAAACAGTATCAAATCCAAAATATTCATTTACTTACTACTTACATCTTACTGTTTACTTTTTTTTATTTTATCAGCTTTAGGCTGATATTTGTCGTGCGACAAATTTTTCAAGCGTTAATTGGCTGTAGGACAGAGAAATCCGAGAATTTCTTTGTTTTGCAGCCAATCAATAGATTTGAAAAGCTACTTACTGTCGTACGACAAAAAACGGACAAAAACGGATGAATGTAATATTAGCCGTAAAACGTTATTTCATAAAAGTAATGGCTTTCTATAATAAGCCATTACTTAAGTTTAATGCTGATTCTACAATGAGTCAGTAGTTCTAAGTCTTATCGGGAATCGATGAAGTTGGCCAACAGTTAATTTATACGACTAAGGCCCGGTTGCACCAACATTACTTTGACTTTAAGCGAGACTTAAAACTCTCTTTGTCTCGTTTTAGAGCGAAAACGAGACAGAGAAAGAGTTTTAAGTCTCACTTAAAATCAAAGTAACGTTGATGCAATAGAGTCTAAGACCGATTTTCTTAAAACTGGCCAAATTCGACTTTATTTCTTCCTATTAGCTAAGCTAAATGAATCACTATACAATTAACAACTTGTAGATGCGAAAAATCATAAGCATCTATTTAGATTAAGACTGATTAAGACTTAAAGATTTCCGACTGCTCATTGTAAAGTCAGCTTAAATCTTAAGCCGTAAGAAATTGACCAATTATCATAATTATCGATTATTCTTCTCACATTTGACTGTGATTGGTCAATTTTTCACGGCTTAAGATTTAAGCTTAAGTAACGGCTTCTTGTAGAAAGTCTATAAGAATTTAAAACCTTATATGTCAGAAGAATTTCACGTTGTAAATCAGAAAAACAAGCGCGATCCGAACACCGCTGCACCGTCAGGTAACAATAGACGGAACGGGAACTCATCCGTCGAGTCTTATCTAGAAAAACTGCTTGCTCGCTACCGGAAGCGGAAAATAACGCGTTCTTTTTCTTACGAGCTACGCACGACTTAACTATTCGTTAATTAGATCTTCCAAGTAGATATGCAACATATATTCTAAAAAAAACTTGCAGAGTTTAATAATAATACGAGTACAGTAACCTAAAGAATATTATGATTCTCACCAACGCGATTACAATTATAATATTTCGAGATAGTCCTAATCACCTAGCTAGAATATTTTATATATTCTAGAATATCCTAGAATATTTTATATATCCTAAGTAAAAGTCACTATTATTAACTATTATTTATATGTATACTAATATTTGAAATGTACACAAATTTCAATATTTTCTCAATATTTTCTCAAAATGGTGAAATAAGGTGAAATAAAAAAACTAGGATTTTTTTATCAGTAAAGAAACTACTGTGACTGAATTTCATTTCCTCCATTGATAAAGTGTAAAAATTATTCCAGGTGACTATAATAAATAATGATAGCTTTGGTCTCAATGGGAAATTTCGTTATACTGATTATGTTGTCGTTTGATTATTGCCATTTGCTCTATGCAGTTTTAGCAACAATTTTATATCGCGAATTTCCATTATTAACAGTTCTGTTTCTCGCATATACCCTTTTTTGATAGAGAATTGTTTTTTCATACACAAATCGCATTTCTCTCTCTTTCTCTCTCTCTTTCTCCCTCTCATATATTTTCAAGAGAAATTTTTAATCATGATGATGATTCGACTACGGGAAAGGAATAAAGAGAAGAAGAGAATCAAAAGATAGAAAAGGTTGAAAGAGAGCGGTAGAAACGTAGAGACAGAAGAAAATCGCGGGTAGGGATCGCGAAAACGACCAACAACGGATGAATCAGAAGAGAAGGAATGAAGGAGAGAAGGAGAGAAGGATTCCCTCTTAATTCCAAGCAGCGGACTTTCATGCAAGCTATGAGAACGTTCCCACTCCCACGTCCAAAGTGCTCTTTTCCTTTTCCTACGTGCTTCCTCCTCTTTTCCCTCCCGCGCCGTGACTCTTCCTTTTCTCTCTCTCGTTATTTCAGTCTCCTCCGTACACGAATCCTCCTTTTTTCCTTGCACACCTACGTACGTCGGTTGAGCGATCGTGGTTCATCACGGTTCTTGCGCTCGAATATGGTTGCAGGGGCGGAATAATGTCCGCCCTGATCCCAATGACGAATCGAATAAATTAGGGAAATCGTTCAAGAAAGGACTATCGGTAGGTACGAAATATAAGGAAAGCCTGTGGGAAAACTCATTGATATTTTCAAAACTATTAGATCTTAGAGCAGACGCACCGTCTTAAAATAAAGACGCCTACAGATGTTGACAAACATCCACAATTTTATCGCGCGTCTGTCACGCGTAAATTATCTAGATCATCATATATATTTCGTATATGCTATATTTAACCGAAGATCACAGAGATACAAATGGTACAAAGGTCCCGCTGATGTTTTGAACTTTTCCGTACATGTTATACAGGGTTGGGAAATTACATCTCGAGAAATAAGTAATATAATTTAATAACGTTAGAAATATATAAGATCTTTGTATTAGGTGTAGTAAAAAGAAATCCATTATTTTTGCATGAAATTGAATGGAAAAATAATGGATTTCTTTTTATTAATATTTAATATTTAATATAGCAATGCAATATTTAATATTTAAAATAGCAATGCAAACAATACAAAAAATTAACAGAACTGTAACTGAAAAGTAGCAACTCTTGATCTTTTAAAAAACCATAATTTGATATTTTTCAGAATCGATAACTTGTATCGGTAACTAATTACTTTTTAAGGGAAAAAAAACTGTAACTGTAACTAGTTTTACAAAGTAATTTTCCCAATCCTAGCGTTATATTGCGTTTCCCGAAATCTTTCTACTACTCTTTACTGGTTCGGTTACCCAGCTCTTTTATCTTCATAAAAAAATTTCGCGATGTTAGATAGGAAATTGATGAAAAACGAAACTCACTCTGCCGACAAAGAAGCGGCGGTAGCATTTGGCCGTGTCATCCTGGTCTATCCTAGGCTGCCAGGCTGGCTGCGCCGGTAGTAATGCTTTGCCGGCGGAATCGAGAGTATGTCGATGATCGGTACCGTCGACCCAATACCCGGATGGCGTGACAACTAAGGGTGGCTGGACACCGGACACAGCTTGCTGTTGCAGAGCTGCTTCCATTAGTGCTCTCCCCAAGGGCGCATCGCCCATCGGTGATGGCGATAACGCTGATGTGTGATTGCTAGGCGCACCACCGGGACTCGACGTTGTCCTGTCATCTCTCGGTGTCTGCAACAAAATTGCAAAACATTCATTAATTCATCCGGGATTTGATTAATTATTTCTGCGAAGTATTCAGGTAAATATTGACATATATAAAAGAATGAAAAAGCATTAATCGAGCATATAATTATAGATTGAGTAATTTTATTTTCTTAACTTAGTATGTTAGAATCTAAAAATAATTAGATTCTAATTCGTAGCATGTAGTGTCATTATTTTTTCTTTGTCTCACAAGTGTTTTTTTTTTAATATCTGAAACTCATCATTAATATTTTCACAAAATATTATTTTTATATAATAAATTTTTATTTATTATTTAAATATGTAATTAAATATTAAGTAAAAAAATATCAAATAATCAATGTTATAAAAAAATCTAAAAACTCTAATAAAATTTCTCAATAAAAACTCTCCAATAAAACTTAATAAAAATATTCACTGGGCTGAATTTTTTTAAGAAAAATCTGGGCTTTTTCCAATCCTACCAAAAACGAAATGTTGTATGATACAGTGGTTAAGTGACAAATAAACCAAGTGACATATAAACACTAGTTATTCCCATTAAAAGTTTTATGTAAGTGACATTCTAATAAAAAGATATTGTGACTTCATTGTAAAGGTACAAGATCAATAATCAATAATCGCATATAATGCAATAATATAACGTAATAATTAACAGAAATTAATAATTAACAGAAAAGAAGAAATATTATTTCATATAATTATAAACTGAGTAATTTTATTTTTCTAGTATGCGCAGCTATATAAAACATCATTTATCAAAATAACAATGGATTTTCTTAATTTAATTTCGTTAATTTAATTTTGTTAATTAAATTCCTTCAATATCGATATCCAATATTATTATTAATATTATATATAATATTATATAATCATGAATCCGAGGCAGAAGCGTAATACAGAACGTCGATACTCTCACATCAACTTCCTCACATTGATGTCACCGAGTGTTATTGGCTACTTGTTTATCAGTTGCAGTGTAGGTGTTCAATTGTTCGTTTTCGTGGCTGGCAACATTGATTGCTCTATATTGCTGTCATATATCTCTCTTTCTCTCTGTTCTCCGAAGCAAACACGATCGATCGCCCTGGGAGGATGCAGCGCGACCAAAAAGGAACCGCGCGTATCGTAAATGTCGTAGAGAGATTGAGGCGAGTAGGTCGAACGTTACGACGATCCTACGCTGGCGGCGAAACTGAAGAAACGATATATGTCCACGTGTCACTGTACACCAATCGCACCCACGTAGAGTTCCTGCGGATACCAACCGATCAGATGTCGACTGTGATTCGATACGAGTACTCCATATTCGTCGCGCGACGAAGCACAGCATGCGATAATATGTGTAACTCTAAGCATCTCGCTCACGCGAGTGGAAACACCTCGACTGGATAATTATGGTAATAGTTTATTCGTCAAGGGATTAATGTCTGCATAATGTTGGTGACACTCATGATGATAGTCATGGTTTATCTTATCTAATCGATGTTTTTATACTTTCTTCTTTTTCTTAAAGATATATAATACTCTTCGATTATTTTAATAGAAGAAGAAAAGCGTTCTTCATCCGCGATTAGCCACGTGCAGTTAAGTGCTTTTACAAAGTTAACGCGCATCGAACATCTGCAGATTTCTCCAGCTGCGTAAACGCGGTCGAATATAAAAGTGCGTTTTCTCTCAGGTTTTCATTAGACAAGATCGTGGCCCACTAATATCGAGCATAATTGGTTATTTAGTAATCTGAATCTCTCATTAGCACGGTTATTTAGTAATCTGAATCTCTCATTTTATTAAATCGACTACTTCTTTTACGTACTTTCTTCTTTGATATAACTTGAGCGCAAGCTGTAAATGTACAATCACAAATGTACAATTATTAATTATTATACTGTTTAACAGAAATGATTTCTTTTCAAATGTAAGGTAAAAGTAATCGTTTTTGCTACAGTTTTTCAAATGTTGTATACAATTACGTTTATTAAATTGCTCTATCATATGATCATGTCACAAAGAGGAATTAATTTGCAATTAAAGTTATAAAAAAACTATTTTAATGTATTTTGATGTATTATATTACTATGATAATATATGATGTGTTAAAGGACTTTTATTGTAGTCAATATTAAATGTTGTTAGGACTTTAAGTCCCTCAAAAGAATTTTTGTATCAATTATAATTAAAAAAATATTTATGATCATCGCAAGATTTATTGCGATTATATAGGATTTACTAAATACCTTTTTATTTATATTATTCAAATTTAAAGATTCAGATTATTGGATATTTTCTCCTGGATGAAACCAATGAAAATCTTGGAGGGGATAATTGCAAATCGAATTTTTCTTAGAGTAAGATCCAGGAGAGTATGTCATCTAACCAGTATGTTTTCCGCGTACGACTACCGCGTAATTCTTCGGCTTAAGAACATAATCTGCAATAAAAGAAGGAAGAAAATAGTTGTCGCCGCAAGAAGTTTTGATAATGATGAGTCATTATCTCCCATGGCCACATATTAATGAGGTCATGATCACGAAGGAATTGCTGAGCTACTTTAAGGTTGCAACTATCTTCGTGATAAACGGCTTGTACATACACGGATAGGAACGATTACCTGATAAGAATCCAAGTAATGTGTGGAATTCAAGACTCTGTTCTGGATCCACTGCTCTGAATTATTGCTTATTATTGTGACGTGATCACCAGAACGTTGCACTAACCTGTGCTACGCATAATAATAGCTAATACGGATATACGAAGAGAAACTTTAGCTGAGTCTGGTAATTGTAGTTCATGGAATTAAGCAACTAGGATTAAGAGTCGTTTCGTGATCGACAGCCTTTTTCAAGAAAAACATCATCTAAGTACTACACTCCTAATTGGAAGAGATAATCTTCATATCAAGACTTTTGTAAAATACTTGGATCTTGATAATTGATAGTGTCTGGACATTTAAGCATTTCAATTTCTTAATATATATAAAGTCAAATGCATAACCGCGGAACGCGATATCAGACCTAATTTTCAAAGTCCTGGTGAAACGAAAACGGCATTGAATAAAAATTGTACATTCGATTATTATTATGTCAGCTCCTATGTGGATAAAATTGTTAAGAAGACGAAAAAACCTAATCTTAACAAGACTTATAGAGCATTTTATATTCAGGTAATGAGTACGCCATCACCAAGTGGAAAACTAAATAGATCGAATATGGTTGGAGTTCGACTTAAAACGGCTAATAATACCAAAGTTGGAAATTGTGTAACGAGATCATACGAGTGCCTTAGGCAAAAATGCTTTAATTACTATTTACACTAAATAACAAAAATATTATTCTCAGTTTGTTCTCATTGTTTGATGATTAAGGATACTGCTCAGCATATGTTGGAAGATTGTCCTGTTTCGGACTCAGAGAAGAATTGAATTTGTATCATTGGAAGAAATATAAAGTACTCAAGATCATGTTGATAAATCAGAATAATTAGAATAATTAGCAATAACAAGCTTTTACAAAGATTATAATAGAAAAAGTGTTAATGGAGCGCATTCTTGATTTGTCGTCTGAATCCAAATGTTAAGGGCATTGTAGAGTATCATCATTGTAGAGTATCAGGGATCACTGTAAAGAGTACTACTTCTTCTAGAAGGCACAATCTGATTTCTTTCGATTGATTCAATGAATCCTGGCTATGATGAATCCTCCGAACTATCCATAATCAATAATCTCAAAAATCTCTTATATATTAAATTTCAAAGAATGCGTATGTAAGAAAAAATGCTCAAAGAATTAAAAAATCTTAAAGTGTGTGTATATGATTATTAATTGTAAGCGTGCGTATTTGATTATTAAAAATATTGGGATAGATACCTTAAGTATATGTAAGTCACAACTTTGATGCAATAATCTTATATTAATCACAAATATATTAATCACAAATATTTTAACTGATGATCGAAACAACAAATTCCTTTTAAGGATTGAAAATTCTATTTAATTTTGATAAAAATTTTTCCAATATGTTAAATATTATATAATTAATAATATATTGTACAATAATATATTGTAATAACGTAAACTAAGATAGTCCTTTTTGCAGCTTCACTTCAAATTTCTCAAAATTGTATGTAGCAATTTGTTAATTGGAATGTAATTCAAATCAGCGCACAGAAAACTACGGAAACTTTTTGTGCTTTTTTTTGAACAAAAAGATAGGAAGAAATATACTGAAAAAATTTGCCACTTCGTAAGTTTCTGCAAACATTCGAGCGGGAGAATTTGATGGAGTTTAGAGACGCGCACGCGATCGGTCGCCAGATCGATATACATACATTATGACCTCTCGACGGAATAATACTCCATTCTTATGGAGGTACAACCCGCGATAGCTTTATCGATCAGCGAATGGGATTACATTACCACGCGCCTCGTTCGCTCCGTTTAATGCACGTGTATCGCATACGATCGATCCGCGACATTGGACGCATATTGGCACGATTTAGTTATTAAACTATACAAAACAACACGACCATAACCGACCTCAATCAAACAATCAAATTGAGGATTATTAATGTCGATTGCGAGTTGATTACGATTCGCGCGATATTGCGGTAATTGCGATGATCTTTCATATTAATAGTCAATCCGCAACCGATTCCAAATATATATTAATTCTAATGATATTGAAGATACTTTAATATAACTTTTTCATGTGACTTTTCAAAGAAAAAGTTGACTAATTTCTTAATTATTCTATCCAGCGAGTTTTAAAATGCTATAGTAAAATTTGAATTGTTATAAGTCAGGCCTGTCCAATTTGAGCTTCGGAAACGGAGCTTCAAAACGCAAAGTCATCGATGCAAAAAAATTCAACAAGAGTAAGATTTTAGAAATTATATAAAATGTTGATAAGCGTCACTCACAATCGTATCAACACTTTATAGTGAAATCTTACTCATATTGAATTTTTTTTTGCGTCAATAGCTTTGC